CAAGCCACAGGTCCAGGACTCGAACCATGGTCAGCCATGTGGGAATGTCCAGTGCCTTAACTACTATGCCACCTGCTGGCCCAGTGCTGTGTAGTTTCTAAAGCTGCATCATATTGGGTACACATAAAGTCTGACTTATTCTTCCTGTTAGTATAAGATTGATGAATGGTGCAGATAGAGTCAAACCAACCTTTCCATAGAGGTTTTTTGGCAACTTTGTACCCAGTAGTTTTAACATCTATTCCATTCATATTTCTTAAGCAATATTGAAAGTATAAAATTACCATAGTTATTTTTAATGTCTTCTGCTTTGTTTCCTCCTCAATATTAAATTAAATGATATTAACATGAAGTAATTTCATTTAATCATTCAGAGCTTGACTGATGAATTTGCTTATATCTGAAGTAATTTGAAATTTAAGGTGAATATATTTTAAATAAAATTTGTTGTTTTTTTTTTTTTTAGGTAGTCATATACTTTCTTGTCCCTCCTATAATAATTCAGATTTATTTAATATAGTATTGCATTTTATTTATTTTTTTATTTTTGGAGATTTTTTTTTTTTTTTTTTTTTTGCTATAGGGCATGTATGCTCGTCAGACAGAGACAGACAGAGAGACAGAAAGCGAGAAATCACCCCCCGGGGGGGGATGGCCACGCCACAGTCCCTTCTCCTCCATTCTCCTCTTGGGATCTTGGGCACGCACGCATATGTGCCCAGCGTGAGTTTTAAGCCACCAGGTCCGGGACGCGAACCATAGTTGACTCCGTGGGAGTCCAGCGACATAGCCATTACGCTAACTGCTGGTCCCTTTATTTATTTATTTTTTAGAGAAGTTTTTGCTATAGGGTGTGTGCGCTCACCAGAGAGACAGAAAGCTAGAAATTACCCCTGGGGGGATGACCACGCCTCATCCCTTCTCCTTCATTCTCTTCTCGGGATCTTGGGCACACATGCACATGTGCCCAGTGTGAGTTTAAGCCACTGGATCCAGAACTTGAACCGGGGTTGACTACATGGGAGTTGAATGACATAGCCATTATGCCAAGTATTGCATTTTATAAAACATACGAAATGGAATCTGACTGTGTTAGAATCAGAAGGAATTTTTTTTTGCTAAGGATTACATATTTTACTTAATAGTGTTTGAAACTGCTTTGTAAGGTTAACCAGTGGTTAATTGATCAAAAATCAATAAAAAACAATAAAACAGTGCAAGGCAACACAAACTCTCCATTCAGGATGGTAATGGTAATTACCTTTGTAGGGAGGTAGGAGGATGTAATTAATGAGATATGTTCAGGAAACTTGAAAAGTACAGGTAATATAGTTATTTCTTAGGCTGGGCAATGATTGCATTAGTGTTCATTTCTTTTTAAATTTTATATATGAAGATTACATACGCTGTATTTTAAAATCTATTATTTCACACTTTAAAAGGACAAAGTGCCTCATTTACTAACAATCAAAAATATTTCTCAAATGATTTGTTAGATCTTTTTTTTAAAAAATTATTTAATTTTATTTATTCATTCATTTTATTTAAATTTGACCAGAGATACACACACACAGAGAGAGAGAGAGAGAGAGAGAGAGAGAGAGGGAAAGTGAGAAAGCAAGTTACCAGGTTTAGGACTCGAACAATGGTTGACCATGTGGGAGTGTCCAGCACCTTAGCCACCACACCATCTGCTGGTCCCAAGATCTTTTTTTTTGTTTTTTTTGAGAGAGGTTTTTGTTACAGGGTATGTGTGCTCACCAGGGAGAGAGAGAGAGACAGAGGAACAGACAGAAAGTGAGATACCCCCCCCCAGGGGGATGGCCACATTACAGTTTCTTCTTCTCCATTCTCTCTCCTCTTGTTTTGACACACACACACACACACACACACACACACACACAGATGCTTGGCATGAGTTTTAAGCCACTGAGTCTGGGACTTGAAGCACCGTTGACTATATGGGAGTTCAGTGATCAGTGATATAACCATTACGCCATCTGCTGGTCCCAGACCTTTTTTTATTTTTTTAAAAGAGAGAGTTTTTTTTTTTTTTTTTTTTTTATAGGCTATAGTGCATAATGCACTCACCAGAGAGACAGAGAGAGAAAGTGAGAAATCACTCCTCTGGGGGATGGCCACATTGCAATCCGTTCTCCTCCATTCTTGTCTTGGGACTTTGGGCATGTATACACATGCATCCGGAGTGAGTTTAAGCTGCTGGGTCAGGGACTTGAACAGTGGTTGACTTTGTGGGAGTCCTGCGACATAACCATTACACCATCTGCCGGCCCCTGATTCATTAGATCTTAAACAAAAAAATTTATTTCCGCAAAGCACATGAAATACAATACCTAGCTAAAAAATTTTTGCTTTAGAGCCAACTGGCAGCATGGTGTGCTGGTTAAGGAGGCTGGATCCCACGTGACAGACTGTGCAGTTGGAGTCCTGGTCCTGGTGGCTTGACAAACATGCTGGGTGTTGTGTACTTGTGTGTCCAGAATCTCAAGAGGAGAATGGAGGAGAAGGTATTGTTGCATATCCATCTCCCCCTCCATGAGAGGCTTGCTTATTTTCTATCACCGACTCACTGGTGAGTGTATGTACCCTGTAGCAAAAACCAAAACCAAAACCCTTCCAGAGATGAAAACGGTAAAACTATTGCTTTAGTATTAGCAAGGTCAATATATATTTTATTTAGACTAATAGTCTGTTTCAAAGTTTATGTCTTATAAATTATATTTAACAACAATGTCATTTTAAGTAACTGTGAGGGGTGGCTGAAGTTCAAAGTATGGAAGAGTAATCTGAATTATATGTGTGCAGCTCTCAACTCCTAACTGTAGGATGGTTTACTTGACTGTGCCCAAATTTAGTGTGTCATGTTGTGTACTTGATTCTAGGCCCTTAAAACAATGGCAACTGCAGTCCCAGTGTGTACACACACACACACACACACACACACGTAAAAAATATATATACACACATATTTTGGTGTTTTTTGGGCGCATGTGTTTTGTGTGTAAACATATATACACACATATACATGTTCAAAATTTTTTTGGTGGTTTTTTTTTTTTTTTTTTTGAGAGATTTTTCCTATAGGGTGCCTGAGAGAGAGGGAGAGAGAAAGAGAAAGTGAGAAATCATCTTTTGGGGGGATGGTCATGCTGCAATTTCTTCTCTTCTGCTTTCCTGTGATATTGGGCATGCACTCACAGATTCTCAGTGTAAGTTTGAAGCCACCAGGTCCAGGAATCGAACCGCTGTCAGCCCTTGACTGCTATGCCATCTACTGATCCCTTTTTGTTTCTTTTTTTTTTTTTTTTTGAGAGGTTTTCACTATAGGGCGCATGCGCTCACCAGATAGACAGAGAGAGACAGAGAGACAGAAAGCGAGAAATCACCCCCCAGGGGGGATGGCCACACCACAAACCCTTCTCCTCCATTCTCCTCTTGGGCTCTTGGGCACGTGTGCACACATGCCTGGTGCGAGTTTTAAGCCACCGGGTCCAGGACGCAAACCGTGGTCAACTACGTGGGAGTCCAGTGACAGCCATTACGCTAACTGCTGGTCCCTGCTTCTGTTTTTAAAGAGGTTTTTGTGGGACCAGCAGATGGTGTAATAGTTATGGTGCTGGACTCCCACGTAGCCTGTTGTGGTTCGAGTCTGGACCCAATGGCTTAAACTCACACTGGGCACGTATGTTTGTGTACACATAATCCCAAGAGGAGAGTGGAGAAGAAGGAACTGCAACTTGGCCATGCCCCCAGGGGTGATTTCTCACTTTTGGTCTCTGGTGAGAACACAGGCCCTACAACAAAAAATCTCTCTTAAAAAAACCAAAGAGGTTTTTGCTTTAGGGTATGTGTGCTTATGGGTGGGGGGGAGGCAGTGAGAGGGAAAGAAAGAAATTGCCCCCAGGGGAGATGGCCACACTATAGTTTCTTCTCCTCCCATGATCTTGGACATGCACATACATGCACCCAGTGTGATTTTTAAGCCACTGGGCCTGGGATTGGAACCTCAGTCAGCCATGTGGGAGTCTGGCAACATAACCCCCATGCTATCTGTTGACCCCTCCTATCTATATCTATCTATCTATCTATCTATCTATCTATCTATCTATCTATAATCAAATGAGTCAAGAATCAGTCTGTGGGTATGGTGGCTTGCACCTGTAATCCCAGCTACACAGGAGGTTGAAGCAGGAGGACTGCAAGTTCAAAGCTAGCTAGACGTAACATAGCAGGACCCTGTCTCTTTAAAAAAAAGGGGGGGGGCAGGGCTGCGTAGTGTTGCAGTGGGACCCAGGAAAAGGTCCTGGGTTTGTGCAGGCATCTGTGATCTGGGCTGACTTGAGAGTCAGGGTGGATTATATGGCTTTGTTGGGGATGTCTGCCTTCCTGTCTTAATGGAAGAAATAAATAAATAAACCTAAAAAACCCCCAAAAACAAAATTAAAAAAGAATCAGTTCGATTGGATGCAAGGCCTAGAGATTGTGCGTGGGTTTCCCATGCAGGCCTGCTGGTCTAGCTAGTATCCTGCGTATTTGACTTTTTGTTTTGTTTTGTTAGAGTGCACATGCACTAGTCAGAGGGAGAAGAAGAGAATAGGACACCTACCATGGGTAATGGTCATGCCACAATCCCCTCTTCTCCATCTCTCGCTCCTTTTGGGATTTAGGACACACATATACTTTATCTGGTGTGTTTCTCAAGCCACTCAAAACTGAGACTCATAGTGCACAGTTGACCATGTGGGATCTGACTGTCTTTACCACCAGACTGTATAGCTAGCCTGGAAAATATAGTACTAATGATAATTTAATTGTATGTTAGAAATGATGAATATTTGGCAAGTGAGGTTTTTTTATAATCCTGTCATACAGGTTGGTAGGTGAAATAATTTTTAAGATTTAAATATAATAATTATAAGAACTTACCTTACATCTCCCATTAAAAAAAAAAAAATTCTTCTCTCCAAACCTTCTGTTAGGTAACAGAAATTCAGGACTGGAGTGCATCGAGCCCACATAGTGCAGCATATGTTCTCTGGGATAATGGTGCTAAGAACCTTTACAGAGTTGGCTTCGAGGGCATGGTAAGTAGTGAAGAACTACAAAAGATGAATAGATGGGTTGAGTGAAAGAAGGGAAGTAAGAATAACACTCATTGTCCTCCTTTGTCCTTTTTCTTTTGTTATCTCCTGTCAGAACAAAACTATTGAATCATGAATATGCAATAGGAAGGAGCTCTGTAAAGTGAGAATTCAATGAACTTGCAAGACCTTTACAGTTTTATTATATTGGTATAAACTATTTTTTTAGAGAATTATTTTACTGAACTTTATTTTATTTATTTACTTTAATTTGACTAGAGAGGGACAGTGTGTGTGTGTGTGTGTGTGTGTGTGTGTATGTGTGTGTGTGAGAGAGATAGAGAAAGAGCGAGAGACAGACAGAAACAGAGATAAAGTGAGAAAGCAAGCCACTGGGTCTGGGATTCGAACTACAGTTGGTCATGTGGGATTCCAGTGCTCTTAACCACCATGCCACCTCCAGCCCCAGTATAAACATAATGGATATGATTTTGCCCTCAGTTAGTGTTGGGGTACCTTACGCTATATTAATAGGTTGTGTAGAACTGATCTCTTATCAAGTGTAAGTCAAGGGGTTTATTTACTAAAAAAAATTGGAATAATCATCTATTAGACCACTTGTTGGTGTGGACCTGGAGGATGGTATTGTAATGAGGATTTATGATCTGTTGGTATTCTATGCTCTGGTAGATGGTAAGAGTATAAATTATAGTAGTTGTTAAAATTATTTTTAAAAAGTTTTTTCCCTGTGTTTTGAAACATAGTGTTGCTAAATAAAAATGATTGACCTGAAAACACCTTTAGTGCTTAGGAGAATTTGTTCAATGGATTCTCTTATATTTCTGCATTTCATGGACCATTGTTCAAAAATTGACCTCACTGTTTAATTTATAGAGTATTATTGCCTTTCTTGTGTCCCTCAATGGGAAAGTATAGAATTTACCATTCTCCTTAATTTAAGATTTAAAATTTTTTTTATTAATAAGCATTTATATATAAAAACAAGTCTTGTGAATTTAAACAGATACTTTACTTACCAGTGGTTATCATCAAACATAGTGCTGATCATCAGTTTTAAATTATCTTTGTGCAGATTCCTGTTTTGAAATTATACATTTTTGTAGGATTCTGATTAATTGTTAATTTGCTTAAAATAAAGATTTATGTGTTATATGTGCTCAGGTAGTTAAGGAGTAATACATGTAGATGGATAGTTAACACTGATTAGTACTCCTTTACATATATGCTTATGCCATTATTTGTTGAATGAGATTCCTGTTGATGGGTATCTGGGTTGGATCCCCCCAACCCTCACTGCTGTAAACAGTGTGCCAGTAAGAATTACTGTTTATATGTCTTTGCATGAAATTGCTATATTTCTTAAAGATAGATTCCTAGAAGTGGAATTGCTAGGTTAAAGTATCACTAAAACAATTTGAACCCTATTTCTCTTTGGCCAGAATTGAGTGACACTTGATACTCTAGTGTCAAAGAGGGGTGAATGTGTGTATGTGTGTGTTTATATATGTAAAGTAACTACTGCCTTTCTTTCTTTCTTTCTTCTTCTTCTTTAGGTTTTTGACATAGGGTGTGTGTTCTTGCTACAGAGAGACAGATAGAAAGTGAGAAATCCCTCCCCCCGGGGGGGGGGGATGATCACACTGCAGTCCTTTCTCTTCCATCCTCTTGGGATTTTGGGCATATATGCATACACAACCGGTGTGATTTTCAAGCCAGGCCTGGGGCTTGAACTGTGGCTGCCCATCTTAGAGTCCAGCACTTTAACCACCACACCACCTGCTGGCTCAAGGAACTCCTTTTCTTTAGGTATTTTTAGAAATTTTTGCTTTAGGGTGCATTCACTTGGCCATGTGGCATGTGGGAGTCTCTTGATATAACTGCTATGTCATCTGCTAGTTCTGGAACTCCTGTTCTTGATAGAGTAAGATATTACTGATTTCCCACAATATATGCCAGGTACTACTAGGTACTTTTTTTTTGAGAGGTTTTTGCTATACGGTGCGTGTGCTTGCCAGAAAGACAAGAGAAAGACAGAGAGACAGAAGGCGAGAAGTCACCCCCCAGGGGGGATGGCCATGCCACAATCCCTTCTCCTCCATTCTCCTCTCGGGATCTTGGACACGCATGTACTTGTGCTCAGCGAGTGGGACTCGAACTGCAGTTGACTACATGGGAGTCTAGCGACATAGCCATTATGCTAACTGCTGGTCCCACTACTAGGTACTTTTAAGTAAAGCTACCTCTGAATTTTCACAGTAACAGCCCAAATTGCTCTTCTTAGTTCATATTTTCAGTGCTTTTCATTGTGTTACAGCTGTCTCCCCATTCCATATTTAAATAATAAGTTTTTTGTTTTTATTTTTTTACTAAAAGATGAGTAGGAAGGAATTTTTAGATAATGGTGAAATAAGGAGTGATGTTCATATGAATATAGGAAAATGAACTGGACAAGGAATCAAAAAGCTAGATTTGGTTTCATTGTTTTGTCCTTTGTATTGGCTTTTTCATTTTGGATAATTTCCTTTACTTCTTGTATTCATTTTCCCTACTTATAAAATAAGCTAATACCTCCTTTGTACACCTCATAAAATTGAATTGGAAGGATCTGTAAGGAGCAGCTGACTCTGAGCTGAACAGTAGTTACTTTTAAAGATGAGTAGAGCACAGACTCGCTTGCTTGGGTTGATGCTACCCAGCCGGTAGAGGTTAAAGAAGACTGTGTTTTAGCCAAAGAAGACCAGGAGGGGCTTATTTAAAACCGTGGCGATCTCCATCAGAGATGGTCAGACTGCCCAGTCCCCGGTTTCTCTACTTGTGTGTCTGCATCTTTGTTCTTTCTCAATCCATTGCTGCTTCCACTTGGAGTTCCATGTCCCTTTGCCGTACAGGCTGGGGCAAAGATCAACAAGATGAGCTTTTTTCGTTTTTGGTAAAAATATTTTAAAAATGGTATTGAATTCTAGGAATTTGATTTAATCATTGTTCTAGCATGTGTTTTTGAAAATATCATGTTAGCACTTCAGGTGCTTTAATTATGAACTTTAGAATGTTAAAGGAAAGTAAATTATGACCTATCTGAAGATCAGGTTTATAGTGTTTGACAGGTACTTTTCACAGCAGTGTTTCCTGTGATCATTAACCCAGGGCTATTTCTGACTTCTGGAATTTTTTTTTTTTTTAAAGTTTTTTAGAGAGATTTTTACTATAAGGCGTGTGTACTTGCCGGAGAGACACAGAAAGACAGGAAGACAGAAAGTAAGAAATCACCCTGCAGGGGTGATGCCCATGCCACAATCCCTTCTCCTCCATTCTTTTCTGAGGATTTTAGGCATGCATGTACATGTGCCTGGTGTGAGTTTTAAGCCACTGGGTCTGGGACTCGAACCATGGTCAACTACGCGGTAGACCAGTGACATAACCATTACGTCCATCTGCTGGTCCTAGATATGTTCTTAATGAATTAAATTTTTTTTTTTTTAAAGTTTTTAGAGAGGTTTTTGCAATAGGCTGTGTGTGCTTGCTGGAAAGACAGAGACAGAGAGGTAGAAAGTGAGAAATCACACCCCCCCTCAGGGGGGGTTGGCCATGCCACAATCCAGTGGTTCATTCCCCTCTCAGGATTTTGGGCACGCATGCACATGTGTCCAGCGTGAGTTTTAAGCTGCTGATCTGGAACTCGAACCTCGGTCAACTATGTAAGAGTCCAGTGATGTAACCATTACACCATCTACTGGTCCCCTTAATGAACATTTTTGCCTGTTTCAGGTATTGAGCCATACTTGATGTTCTCATGGGTGATTTTTTTCCCCCTTTGATTTCTTTTCTTCTTAGTCTGATTTGAAGTGTGTCCAGGATGCCAAAGGAGGTTCTTTCTACAGAGATCATTGTCCTGTGCTAGGTGAGTTAGTAGATTATAAAAAAATTACTGCTCTTTCTCTGCCATCATGGTGTGTGCTGGCCACTTGGTTCTTTGGCATGTCTTCTCACAAGACTTTGAGAATCAAGTGGTTTCTTGCCAAGAAACAGAAGCAGAATCATCCCATTCCCCAATGGATTTGAATGAAAACTGGTAATAAAATCAGGTACAACTCTAAGAGGAGACACTGGAGAAGAGCCAAGCAGGGTCTATAAGGAACTGGACAGAAGCTGGCCCACATTTTTATGCTGTTTCAAGGTTACTGTATTCTTACCACATGAAGCTAAAAAAATGCTCACCACTGTCTGGGCATTTGGGGGTGTTTATTGGAAAAAATGATGCTTCACTTTGTTTCTGTGTTCTGTACTGGTAAGTTGGTTCAGCAATAAATATGTAAGACCTGTAAATGAAAAAAAGACCAAATAATGGGTAGAGTTCATGGAATCAGTAAAATGTTTATATAGGACTTTAAAAAAGTTAATTATCATTGGAGTTATTTAGAGAAGTGCTTTTTTGGTTTTGAAGTATTTTTTTTTTAAATTTAGATTCAGAAATATGATATGTCTTATGAATAGATATGCCATTTATGTAATAATATATATTGAAAATTTCTTTTAATATTTTGTTGAAAGGGGTCAATAAGTGGCATGGTGGTTAAGGCACTGGACTCCCACATGTTTGACTGTAGTTTGAGTCCTGGACTGGTGACTTGTTTTCTTTCTTTTCTCCTCTCTCTCTCTCTCTGGTCAAATTAAAAAGAAAAAAATACAATTAATGATTTTTTTTACTTTTTAGAAAGAGATTTTTATTTTTTGCTACATGGTATGTGCGCTCACCAGAGAGTCAGAGAGACAGAAAGTGAGAAAGCACCCCCCCCCCCCCGGGTGAAGGACTACTGCAGTTCCTCTCCCCCCCCCCCCGGGGGAAGGCATACTGCAGTTCCTCTCCTCCATTCTTGGGATTTGGGGCACACATCACACGTGCCAGGCGTGAGTTTTAAGCTACTGGTTCCAGGATTCAAACTGTGGTTGACCACATAGGAGTCCAGTGATGTAACCATTATACCATCTGCTGGTCCCATAAATAAACAATTCTTTAACAAAAATTTTTAGGGGTTGACAAGTGGCATGGTGGTTGAGGTGCTGGACTCCCACATAGCCAACCATGGTTCAAGTCCTGGACCTGGTGGTTTGCTTTCTCACTTTCTCTTTCTCCCTCCCTTTCTCTTTCTCTCACTCATCAAATTAAGAAAACAGTAATAAATAAAATTAAATAAATAATTCTTTTAAAAATTATTAAAAATTTTTGTGTTAGATGACATGAATGTTCTCATACACTGTTAAGAATAGGATTTGACAATTTGGTACTTATAAATTCTTTAGAGTTTCTGTAAAATTGCCTTCTTAATATAAGAACAGCTTCAAGATTAAGGTAGCACAATAAATATAATTTGATTTTAATTACCAGAGGGTAATTACCAGAGGGCATGTACTTATCAGGGAGAGACTAGAGAAAGGAAGAAGGAGAGTGGGGTATGTACACCTCAGTCCTTCCTTTACTTCTTCATCCTGTTGGGATTTTAGGCCCATACACATACATGTAAAGGTATTTGTCAAGCCACCGGGGCCAGGATTTGAGCCATGCTTGGCCATGTGGGATCTGGCTTCTTTAGACACTAGGCTAGAGAGTTGGCCCATAAATGTAATTTCATGTATTGATTAAAAAAAAATAAGAACAGGGAAACCTCCTTAAATATTAAGAACATTAAAACTAATTTCATGATTCTTTTTTTTTTTTTTGGAGAGGTTTTTGCTTTAGGGCATGTGTGCTCGCCAGAAAGACAGAGAGAGAGAGAAAGCGAGAAATCACCCCCTGGGGGGATGGCCACGCCGCAGTCCTTCCTTCTCCATTCTCCTCTTGGGATCTTGGACATGCACGCAAACGTTCCTGGCATGAGTTTAAGCCACGGGGTCCAGGACTCAAACCGTGATTGACTACATGGAAGTTCAGCGACATAGCCATTACAACTGCTGGTCTCATTTTACAGATTCTTTATTGTTGCCAGAATGAATTTACTACACTCTCTTGATAAAATCTTTAGTCTCTGGATGCTTGCTTTCTCATATGTATTGTCTGTTCCTCTTTCCACATCATTTGACTTGACTTTGTATCAAAAGGTAGTGTTTTTTTTTTCCAGCATACCTTAAATTTTAAAACAAATCAGAACATAGGAGAAATACCTATGTTTTTGGTGTGCTTATCCATTTCTCTTGCTTTCAGAAACTTTCTTGTTTTGTGTTTTGGCTTTGTAAGAAAAATGTGTAATCTACGTGCATATTTTGAATCCTTCAGCATAGTGTGTTATCATAAATCCTTTATCTTAACTAGCTTTTGAATATATTCTGGGGGATGGGCTTTGAAATATCTAAAAATGCTCTTTGGGCAAAAATCACAAGAGCCATTTATTTGAAAATAGTACTAAGCACTTAAGAGAAAATAATAATTGCAGGGTTTTCTTTTATATTAGTTAGTTATTATGACTCTGATACAGTGAAAGTTAATAAGTCATCCAGACAGGAAAGTGAGTATTTTCAACACCCAGAACTTTGTGTTCTGACATAAGATTACATAGTCATAGATTTTATTCTTTTTCAATCTGTTATAAATGATCACATTATTTCAATTTTTGAGTCTTTTTTTGTTTTTCTTTCTCTTTAATCGGAGGGTACATGCCCTTTCTGGAGAGAGAGACAGAGAAAGAGAGAGAGAAGAAAAGTAAGAAAGCCATCCTGCCATGGGATTTCGAGCATGCACGCACACATGCCCAGTGTGTTCATCAAGCGACTGGGTCTGGGCCTTAAATCACATGGTTGCTGTGTGCGATCCAGCCATCTTAATAACCAGACCACAGGCTGGTCCCTGTTTATTTTCTTTTGTTTTTCAATGCTCTCTAGTTCTAGAATCTCATGGTGAGTTCTCAAAACACTTGAAGATTAGACAGTACCTAAACCAAAAGTATCTGTTGTTATTATTTTTTATATATAATGCAATTGCATGTTATTGCCGTGACTTTCCCTTCTTTTCATTTGCTTCTGAAATTATAGGTGAGCAGAATGGCAATAGGAATCCTGGTGGATTACAGATTGGTGACTTAGTAAACATAGATCTTGACCTGGAAATTGTACAGTCTTTGCAGCATGGTCATGGAGGATGGACTGATGGAATGTTTGAGACTTTAACTACAACTGGAACTGTTTGTGGCATAGATGAAGATCATGACATTGTAGTACAATATCCAAGTGGCAATAGGTTGGTGCTATTTCTCAAATTTTAATAATGACAAATAAAGTTGGTATATTGAGGAGCCTTAAAAGCAAATAATGTGATATAACCAGAGTCATTAAAGGTAGCTCTTAGATAGTAGATAAAAATTCAGAATATGTTGGTAAGACAGAAGGGAATGAATGATAAAAATTGTGTTTGTGTTGTATGTATCTGTGAATTTATATATTTATATATATACAATATTCTGTGCACCTTTAATTTTTTCTTCAGGAATAGAATAAATTATGTCAGGATTAGGTTCAAGTAAAGATAAAATAAAAAGTTCTGTGTTCATAAAGGACTATCAGTTTACCCTGAATGAGAAGGGTAAACATAAAACTACTCTGGGGCCAGCTGGGGGCATGGTGGTTAAGGTAAGTGGATACCCTGTGGTTGGCTGCATGGTTTGAGTCTCAGACCTGGCAGCTTGAAGAACATGCCAGGTATTGGCCCGTATTTTATTTATTTATTTATTTATTTATTTAATTTATTTATTTTTGAGAGGTTTTTTGCTGTCGGGCATGTGTGTTCGCCAGACAGACAGAGACATAGAGACAGAAAGCGAGAAATCACCCCCCAGAGGGTATGGTCATGCCGCAATCCCTTCTCCTCCATTTTCCTCTCAGGATCTTGGGCACGCACGCACATGTGCCCGGCGTGAGTTTTAAGCCACCGGGTCTGGGACGCAAACCACGGTCAACTATGTGGGAGTCCAGCGACATAGCCATTACGCTAACTGCTGATTCCCTGTGCCCAGTATTTTATTTTATTTTTTTAAGAGGTTTTTGATATAGGGTGCTCCCGCTTGCCAGACAGACAGAGAGAGACATAGAGACAGAAAGCGAGAAATCACCCCCCAGAGGGTATGGTCATGCCGCAATCCCTTCTCCTCCATTTTCCTCTCAGGATCTTGGGCACGCACGCACATGTGCCCGGCGTGAGTTTTAAGCCACCGGGTCCAGGACGCGAACCGCGGTCGACTACATGGGAGTCTAGCAACACAGCCATTACGTAAACTGCTGGTTCCCTGTGCCCAGTATTTTGAGAGGAGAATGAAGGAGAAGGGATTGTGGTGTAGCCATTTCCCCTCAGGGTGTTTTTTCAGTTTCCTTTCCTCTCTCTCTCTCTTGTCTTTCTCTGTCTGGTGAGCATACATGTCCTATAGAAAAATCTAAATAAATAGCTGTATCAATAAAACCAAAACAAAACAAAAACTACTCTGGTCAATTAAAAAAACGCAACCAAATAAAAACCTACTTTGTCCTTATCTCCTGGACCATCTCTTAATAGCACAAGACTCCTTTGCCTTAGACCTGTACACACATATACTGATCCTTTTTAACAACATACAATTGCATGGATTTCCTCACTTCTTTGCCATTGCACATACTACCTGCTACATGTAGAAAACCCTTTCCTCCTTACCTCCCCTTTTCTCTGGATTGATTTCACTGTATCCTATAAATACTGAATTGATATGCTTTGGGATTCTCTTTAGTCGTCCCACCCTCCCTGGCATGGCACATATATATGTGATTCATCTGTTTAGGTTTCTTATAATTTATTAAAGTGGTTATTTATTTGATTTCTAGATTGCAGGTTTCTGGGAAGGTGGGCCTGTGCCTTTTATTTAATTTGGGCCAAAATAGTATCTACTAGTATGTTTACAGTATTTTAGAGAAAAGCAATAGTTAAATTGAAGAATTTTCTTAAGGTATTTACATAAAGAAGCTAACTCTGAGGTTCTTTGGGAGAGGAGGAATTTTACATAGAATAACAAATTAACATTAAGTTACTTAAGTATAGAATTAGCTTAGATTGTATTCAAAGTTGAATAACACTCATGATCATATTAATAGATACCAAAAATGTATTTCACAGCATCCAGCACCCTTTTGCTTTTTTTTTTTTTAAAGAGATATTTGCTGTAGGGTTCATTTACTCACTGGAGACAGAGAAATAGAAAGCGAGAAATCACCCCTCCTCCCCCAGAGGGAATGGCCACTTTGCAGTCCCTTGTCCTTCATTCTCTCAGGATCTTGGGCACACACACACACATTCTTTTTTTTTTTTTTTAGAGAGATATTTGCTGTAGGGTTCATTTACTCACTGGAGACAGAGAAATAGAAAGCGAGAAATCACCCCCCAGGGGGGATGGTCACGCCGCAATCCCTCCTCCTCCATTCTCCTCTCGGGATCTTGGGCACGCACGCACACGCGCCCGGCGTGAGTTTTAAGCCACCGGGTCCAGGACGTGAACCGCGGTCGACTACGCGGGAGTCCAGCGACATAGCCATTATGCTAACTGCTGGTTCCCGACACACACATTCTTGACGTGAGTTTTAAGCCACTAGGTCTGGTACTCGAACCTTGGTCAACTATGTGAATCCAGGCACATAGCCATTACACCATTTGCTGGTCCCAAGACTGATTCATTCTTTAGGTTCTGAGGGAGAATCTGTCCTATGCCTCTCTTTATGTCTATGGATTACCCATAATCCTTGACATACATACATATATATATATATATATATACATATATATATACATATATATATATATACATATATATACACACACACGTGCGCACATACATCCATACGTACATATACATATACACACATGTATATATATATATGTGTGTGTATATGTGTGTGTATATATATGTGTGTGTGTGTATATATATATATATTTAAGATTTTTGCCTTAGAGTGCATGTGCTCACTTGAGAGAAACAAAGACAGTGAGAGAGAAAGTGAGAAATCACCCCTTGGGGGGATGGCCATGCTGCAGTCCCTTCTCCATTCTCTTCCTAGGATTTTGGGTACACACACGCATAAGTGCTCTATGTGATTTTCAAGCCACTGGGTCTGGGACTTGAACTGTGGTTGGCTATGTGGGAGTCCAGCATCTTAACCACAATGCCACCTTCTGGCCCCAGTCCTTGGTATTTTTTGGCATATGAAATATCACCTTATATTCTCTGCCATCAGCTTTACGTGGCCTTCTCAGCTCTGTGAGTCTGTGTGTCCTGGTTCGTATCTTTATGTGATCTTCTAAAAAGAACACTAATCATTGAATTTAAGATCTACCCTAATCCAGTATGATCTCATCTTAACATGACTACATCTGTAAAAGCCCTATTTAAAATTAAGGTCACAGGCCAGCAGGTGGCATGGTGGTTAAGGTGTTGGACTCCCACATGGCGACCCTTCGTTTGAATTGGACCTGGTGGCTTGCTTTCTCACATTTTCTCTTTCTATGTCTTTCTCTGTGAGCACATGCGACATAGCCAAAAAAAAAAAAATCTTTAAAAATATGAAAATAAGGTCACATTAACAGATACCAGGATTAGAATTTCAATATTTTATTTTAGAGAGGTACATAATTTAATCCACAACAGATGTTAGTACTCTCACAAATAATTGACTGAATTGTTGTAATTCCTGTCAAAATCTTGGTGCCCTTTTTTTTGTAGGAGTAGACTGATTTAAAAATTCATGTGGAAATTGAAAGGTCTCAGAATAGCCAAAACAGTTTTGAAAACAAACAAATCAAGCTGAAGATATCACATTTCCTGATTTTTTATTTTTTTAAATTCTTATTTATTATCATTATTCTCCAATTTTGACCAGAGAGAGACAGACAGACAGAAAGAGAGAGTGAGAAAGTAAGCTACCAGGTTCGGGAATTGAACTGTGGTTGGCTGTGTGGAGTCCAGTGTCTCAACCACTACGCCCCCTGCCAGCCACCACATTTCCTGTTTTTAGAACTTAACTATTAAACCAGGACCAGCATATAATGCCACTGGACTCATACGTGTTGACTGTGGTTGAGTCCTGGATGTAGTGGCTTAAACCTCAAGCCAGACGCATGTGCATGCGTGCCCAGGATCCAGAGAGGAGAATGGAGGAGAAGGGATTTCAGCATGGCTATCCCCGCCCTCCTGGAGAGGGTGATTTCTCACTTTCTGTCTGTCTTTCTCTGTCTCTCTGGTAAGCACATGTTCCCTATAGCAAAAATCCCTCTCTCAAAAAAACAAACAAACAAACAAAACACCAACCCAAAAAACCTCCAAAAAACAAAAAAAACAAAAACTTAACTTTTAGGCTATTATCATCAAGTCAGTAAATTGGCCACCTAAGATTAAGCACATAGATTGATGACCCAGAAATAAACCCTTTTATTTAGGTCAGTTGATAAATTTTTTAAAAAGTTTATTTATTTTTTGGGGGAGAGATTTTTGCTATAGGATGCATGTGCTCGCCGAAGAGACAAAGAAAGACAGAGACAAAGTGAGGAATCACCTCCAAGGGGGGATAGCCGTGCTGCAATCCCTTCTCCTACATTCTTCTCTTGGGATTTTGGGCATGCACACATAAATGCCTGGTGCAAGTTTCAAGCCACTGGTCCAGACTCGAACCATGGTCAGCCATGTAGCAGTCTAGCAACAAAACCATTATATCATCTGCTGGTCCCAAAAGTTAATTTTCTAATTTCATGAGTCAGAGAGAGAAAAAATAAACAACAGAGAGACAGTACCTTCAGTAGGGTTTTGACACCATAATCCTCTTACAGCATCAGCCAGCCCTGGATCATGGGTATGCACATGCCTGGTTTATTCAGGGAGACCTGTACATATGAACCTGGAATCTTCTTTTGTTGATCAGCCTTGCAAAGCAATTCATTTTATTGCTGTGCCACCATCTGTCTTCTCAATTGATATTTGAGAAAGGTCCAAGAAGCTTCAATGAGAAAAGAAGAGTCCTTTTCAACAAAAAGTACTGGGATAATTGGATATCAACAAATAGAAGAAAGATAATATTCTCTACTATACCATATATACATATATTAAGTCAAGGTTGATTATAGACCTAACAATACAAAGCTCTTAGGACAAAACATAGATGTAAATCTTTTTGACCTTGGACTATAAAATGGTTCTGTGTATATGATCCCCAAAGCAAAAGTAGTTTAGGAAAAAATGAATAAATTGAACTTCATAAAATTTAAAAGGTTCTATATTTCAAACGAGGCATAAATATACCGCAGACTGGGAGACTTAAACAATAGAAATGTATTTTCTCACATGTGTGAAGGCTAGAAGTTTAAGATCAGAATGCCATCAGGGTTGTTACTGGTAAGGCCTTTCTTCCTGACTTGTAGATTGCCACCATCTCACTGTGTTTTCGTGTGGCTTCTTTGTGCATGATTGAAGGGAGAGATCAATTTATGATGTCTTTTCCTTTTATAAAGACACCACCACTAGTATCAGATTAGAGCCCCTCCTATATTATCTTGTTTAACCACCTTTAACCACACTTCTCCACCTTTTTGTAGGCACTGTTCTAGTTCCTTCTGCTGCTAATAATCTTCCAAGGTGCATTTTCTGAGAAAAGCCACAGAATAATATGTACCCACACAAGTATATATCATGATCCCATTCACAAAAAGAGAACACCTCTCAACGTTATAAAAAGTGCTTAGCAGATTTATAGATGATCTGTAAGGCTGTGTCATAGAGTATTAATTTTGGTTTCTTGTGTGATGAGAATGGTGATCTAAATTTGTGTGAACTGGGATTTTTACCTTGTATGTTTCTGAAATATTTGAATTTTTATCAATGATTGCATATTTCATAGCAGTTTTTTAAAATGGAATAAATCTGGATAAAAGTATACTAAAATGTTAACACATGAAGGGACTAGCAGATGGCATAATGGTTACGTCATTAGACTCCTAAGTAGTCAACTGTGATTTGAGTCCTGGACCTGGTGGCTTAAAACTCATGCCGGGCATGCCCCAAATCCTGAGAGGAGAATGGAGGAGGAGGGATTGTGACGTGACCATCTCCTCTGCAGCGTGGTTTTTTCCTGTTTCTCTGCCTCTCTGGTGAATGCATGCACATAGCAAAAATCTCTCTTAAATAAAAAAGTTAATACATGAATTAGGGTAGTGAGATTATGAATGAATTTTCCCCAAAATTTAATAAAGTTATAATAAAGAAATGCAAATCATCCAGGTTATAATTGCAAGGGATTGCTTTACACTTAGATACGTTATAATGCATCTGCAGTGCTTAACTAAAAATGTATTATGGAAACCTCATTTTGAGTTTTAACTTTGCTCTCGTAGGTGGACATTCAATCCTGCTGTTCTCACTAAAGCAAACATTGTCCGAAGTGGGGATGCTGCTCAAGGTGCAGAAGGAGGTACCTCACAGTTTCAAGTGGGTGATCTTGTACAAGTTTGTTATGATCTAGAAAGAATTAAACTTTTACAAAGAGGACATGGCGAATGGGCTGAAGCGATGCTTCCCGTAAGTATATGCAAAATAGTTTTGGGTTAGAAATTTTACTATGCTTATTTATCTTTCTTAAAGTCCATACATTTTAGAAACTAAGTTGGCATCAGGTTTCCAAAATTGTACTCTCCGTTGGCAGCTGGGTATACTTGTGCCTTTTGTTATCTAATTGATGGTAATTAAATTAGCCTGGGAAGGTCCAGAAAGGGAAACAGAATATTTTCCAGTAGATCTGTTAGTAGAGAATGTAATGGGTAAAAGGTGACAGAGGCTTTCCTGGTGCTTGATCCTGAAATGAGGTGGGTATGTGCTTCTCCATATCTAGCAGTGCTGAGCCTCTTTGGCTTTCCTTAGTGGGGACCCTACCTCTCTGAAACTTTAAAAAAGGTTTATTTATGTCTTTTTTTCTTCTTTTAAAAAGTTTTGTTGTAGGGTGTGTGTGCTCTCTGGAGAGAGAGGGAGGGAGAGAAAGTGAGAAATCACCTCCCAGGGGGATGGATAGATCACAATCTCTTCTCATCCATTCTCTAGAGATTTGGGCATGGATGCACACGTGCCTGGTGTGTTTTTCAAACTGCCAGGTCTGGGATTCTAATCACATAGTTGGCCATGTGGTATCCTGCTGCCTTAAACACCTTGTCACCTGGCTGGTCCTTATTTATCTCTTCTGTGAGAGAGAGGTACATGGTAGGAGTATATTTCCAACAGGGTCTTCACACTGGGTGGGACTCAGTCTTGGCCTTAGTCAGTCTGGATCATGGACATGAGTGTGTGCTTGGTGTATACAGGGAGTCCCCAGGATGTGGACTGGGAACTTTCCCATGTAGGTCCAGCTGTGTTACTGTGCCATTGTCTGGCCCTCTTTAAGAGTTAGAGTATGGAAGAATAGGTCAGAATGCACCTTCCTGAAGGTGGCTTTGCTCCCAGAGCTACAGTTATGTCTTTTTTTTTTTTTTTTTTTAGTTTTTTCCATGATTGTTCTTGCGAGAGAGAGAGAAAGAGAGAGAGAGAGAGAGAGAAAGAAAGAAATCACTCTCCAGGGGGGATGGCCATGCTGTGATCCCTTCTCCTCCAGTCTCCTCTTCTTGGGATATTTAGGCATTCCCTCACATGTTCCTGACATAATTTTTAATCTACCTGGTGTGGGACTTGAATTGTGCAGTTTGCCATGGGGAATATAGCTCCTTAACCTCCAAGCTGCCTGCTGGCCTGAAATATACAGTTAATTGATTTATTTTCTCATTCAATACATTTTCATAAAATGTTTAGCACTAGCAAATAGATTTTTTCTGCCTTCTTTCCTCCTTTCATTTTCTCTGTGTGTTGTTTTTGTCCTATACCTTCCTGTACTGCCCAGTTTCATCCTGTTACCACCCTGCCCTTGCTGCTTTGTCCTGTATCTTATCCCCCTCCATCTTTCTCTTTTCCTGGTCAGCCCTCCACTTTACCCACTTCCTGGTCCTGTCTCTTGTTTTAGTCCTGTCCTGTCCCATATATCTCTTTTCCATCTTTGTTAGTATCACCTCACTCTCACTTTGCTGTGTTGTCTGGTCTCCTACTCTTGACTACCATTTCTCTTTCTTCCTACCCAGCTCCAACTCCTGCCCCATCTACCCTTCTCTCATCCCATGTAGTCCCTCTTCCCTGTTCTTCCTGTTGCTCTGTTTCCCATGAGTCAATACTTCCTGTCTTACTTCCTCAGCAGATATTTTAGTACATATAATATGCCTATTAGGTTTCAGTGATAGAATAGTGAACAAAACAAAAAAAACTCTCTGTTGTTAATAGATCTTCCCTTCAAAGGCATTTCATAGTTTGCATTTTTACACACACATACATAAATGTATGCACATATATACAGACCCAGCCTTGTCTTAGCAATGTTACAAGTAGGTGTTGGTATGGCAGCCTTCTTTCTCTCCCTTCTCCCCTTTTTAAAAACTGCCTCAGCGTACATGCTCTCACTAGAGAAAGTACCCCCCCGAGGGACAGGGTCATGTTGCAATCACTTCTCTATTTTTCCATTCTTGTCTGTATTTTGGGTGTGTACATGCATGTGTCTAGTGTGTTTTTTAAGCTGCCTAGGCCCTGGGATTTGAACTGTGGTTGGCCATGTGGGATTTGACTCCTTTAACCACTAGGCTATAGGGTTGGCCCCTTTGTTCATGATTTAGCTTGTGTGTGCACAAGTGTGAGAGAGAGGGATAGAGGGACTGGTGAGCACCCTTCACTTGATCTGGTCATGCTGCAGTCCCCTTCTTCCAGTCCTCACCGAATTGGATCTTGATTGCTCATAGATGTGCCTGGTGTGCTTCATGATGACCAGGGTGGGGATTTGAACTATGGTTGCCATGTGGGATCTGGATTCTCTTGAGCAGAGTACCACTGCTACACCACAGAGCTGGCCCTGACATCCTTATTTTAAAAATAAAATCAGATACAAGATTGTGTACTGGGATTTTGAGCCCAGATCTGACTGATTTTGAAGTCTCAGTACTTTTATATCTTACCGAATTTCTGTATTAGCAAAAGCTCTAGATAATTTCTAGAGGAGAATTCTGGGATTGCAGTAGTGGTGACATAGATTTTGAATCTTCACAAATCCTCTTGGTGGAAACAGACAACTGTGGGCTAGCTAGTGGTGCCATGCTGGACTCTTCACAGAAAGGGCCCAGATTTGTGTCTGGGGGTCTCCTTGTACACATCGGACACACGCACATGTGCCTCAGGTTGGCTGAGGCTGGAGGTATGGTCCTTTTACTCTCTTCTCCCTTTCTTTCTTAGAATTAATAAATAAATTTTAAAAGAACCCCAGACAACTAACTTAGCATAACCCGAAAAGTCACAAACATCTGTATCAAAGCTAAGTGACAGAGTAGCCTGTTGAACCCTAAAATATGAATGAGTAAAGATAAGCCACTGACAGCTACTGGGTCTGCATCTGTTTGTATAACAGCAGAGAGAATTAATAGGGCATATAGGACAGAACAACTCCTAAATAGCTAATAAATATTCTTCAACTGGTGTGGTAGAATAATGCCATAATAGTAACTGAACCTGAGAGAGCTCCTGCAGACTGTTTTCTGATGAGAACAATAGGTCCATTAAGGTCTGAAGGGGCTAAAGCAACCTGGACCTTTAAACTCTCAAAACTAGTCAAAATCCTTTCCAAGGCAGAGCTTTGAGAAGAAAGTGCTAGGAATAGAAATTCAGTAAGACCAAGATAGTAGGGACAAAGGAAAGAATAGGTCCAGGCAAAAGTTGGCAGGGATTATAGTCAAATCTGTATGCAGTTATTATTGAGCAAGGAATAAGGAGTAGCATTACTACTCTGCAGACATGAACGTGTACCAAAAGACATGCACAGAAAACTGATGATGGGACCAACAGTTGGTGTAATGGCTATGTCACTGGACTCCCATGTAGTCGACCGTGGTTTGAGTCCTGGACCCATTGGCTTAAACTCACGCCAGACGCGTGTGTGTGTGTGTGGGTGTGTGCCCAAGATCCTGGGAAGAGAATAGGGGAAAAGGGATTGTTTTAATTTGCTACAGGGTATGTATGGTGACCAGAAGGAGAGAGAGAGAGAGAGAGGGAGAAAACACCGCCACTCCCATGAGGGACGGCCCCATCGCTATTCCTTCTCTGTTTCTCCCTCTTTTTGGGACTCTGGGCATGCATGTAGTCTGAATTGTGGGATCCAGCTATAGACTGACCCAAATAATTTTAATATTGTACATACTAGGGAACCAATAGAATGAAGATGTGTGTATGTATTTGAAAGAGGGCCCATCTATATGGTGGGCAGAGCTACTAATGTAAACATAACTATAGGACAATACAAACTCTAGATTTATAAAAACAAACAATGGAAGGATACACTGTGAATTTAGTAAAAGTATTATCTATATAAAAAGAGAATAGAATATAGGGGATAAAGGTAGAAGGGAGACATCTTTGAATATGTGTGACATCTACACACATATTTCATACAATTGACATCTATACACATTTCATACAATTGTAAAGCAAAATGAAATTTAAAGGAAACTCCTAAAAATGGAAAATAAAATGAAACAATTGGAACAAAACAAATAGAACAATTGGAAAAAAAAGTTGTGTTTCTTTTTGGCACAACCGTGCAGAAGGGAAATTCAAAGTGTATTTTAAACATAGTAATTTGTGTCTCTGTACCCTTATAGAGGGAATATACCCTAAAGAACTGCATGGATAAGAACTATTCAGCTGTTTTTAGTAATCTTATTGTGTGTGCTGATGTTGATATTGCTATTCTGAGATCAATGTTGATATTGTTATTCTGAGATCATTGTATTTCACCAAAATCCCCCCAAACAAGTACTATGTGATAAGTCTAATTATGTTAATCCCCAGCAACCTTGAAAATATGAATTACCAGAATGGGAGAAGGAGAAACAGATGTAATATAATGGAAGAGGTGAAGTAAAAACCCTGTAATCTTGAATTTGAATTGCAAGTGTTTGAATTCATGATTTATTTTTCCAACCAGAAAACACCCCAAATGGGAAAAAAACCCCATTTCTTAGCTTTGCCCATGAAAAGGCCTAGAAATAGTGACCATTCTAGTAACAATAACCAAACGTAGCACCTAGGTTATGCTTTTTCAATAGCCACTATCTTGGTTAAAAAAAAAAAAAGAAAAACAAAAAAAAAACAAGGCTTTTTGGGGAGTTTGCTAATCCTAGGTTGTTGACAGGAAGTGAATCAGATGAGCCTTGAACCAGATAACAATGATGCTATCAAATATTTCTAGGATTCGGCCCAGCAGTTTGAGTAATGGTTGCATCACTGGACTCCCATGTAGTTGAATTTAGTTTGAGTCCCGGACATGGCATCTTGAAACTCATGCCTCATGCTGGGTGTGTGTGCATACATACCCAAAATCCCGAATAGAATGGAGGAGAGGGATTGCAGTGTGGCCATCTCTCCTGCCGGAGGGGGTGGCGGCGGGGTGTGGGGGGGTGATTTCTCACTTTCTGTTTCTGGTGAGCGCACACCCCTATAGCAAAAATCTCTCTTAAAAAAAAAATTCTAGACTCATGTTAAAAGGACTCAGCAGCCAACTTGAAGAGATGCTCACTGGACAGACAGAAGAGATGATTTCATTAAACCATAAAAATTAGCAAAATTCAGATGGGAAGAAAGTTCATAGGGCAAATAACCTTGTTTCTTCAACAGATAACTTGCCGAGAATGTATATATATGGACTTTATTTAGATCTTTTTAAAAATAAATGATTTATGAAGCAGTTGGAAATTTCGAACACTGCTATTTTATAGAATTAATGAATAACTTTGGATGAGTTGATTAACAGTATTGTAGATTTGGTAAAAATAGTGCTTATTGTTTAGAAGCACATACTGAAATAATAAGGGGGATGGGAAGAATGAGCAGAGGAAAAGATGAAACGAGATTGACTGTGAGCTTGATAATAATTGCAACTGGTCAATGGGTACATAAGGATTCAACCTACTATTGTTTACTTTTTTATATGTTGGAGATTTTTTAATGATAAAAAGTTAAGGGGACAACAGGTGGCATGGTGGTTAAGGTGGTTGGACTCCCACGTGGCTGACTGTAGTTCGAGCCCTGGCAGCTTGCTTCCTCACTTTCCTTCTCTCTCTCTGTCTCTTTGTGGTCAACTTCAAAAAAAAAAAAAAAAAAAAAGAAAGTGAAAAATTAAAAAAAAAAAAAAGGGTTAAGGAAAAAAAAAAAAACGGTTAAGGAGAAATAAAAAGCAAAGAATGTTGCCTTGTAAGAGTTTGAGATGATGGTAGAAAATTCCAACGGAAATGTCTCAGAAGTTAAAAATTAGAATTGATGGAACCAGCAGATGGCATAATGGTTACATTGCTGGACTCTCACATAGTAGACCCTAGTTTGAGTCCTGGACCCATTGTCTTGAAACTCATGCTGGGCGCTTGTGTGTGCATACCCAAAATAGCAAGAGGAGAATGGAGGAGAGGGAATTGCGGTGTGGCCATCCCCCATGGGGTGTGCTTTCTTGCTTTCTGTCTTTCTCTCTGGTGAGCAAATGCACCCTATAGCAAAAATCTCTCTCAAAAAAAAATTAGAATTGATGTCTGTGTGTGTGAGGGAAGAAGGCTAAGCAAGGCTAGGGAAGTATATTTTGGTGTTTTTGGAAAAAGATAATAATTGTCAAAGTGGAATAAATTTTCAAGGAAAAGTAAGCAAACTAACGGATAAAATGTTGGAAGAAGGAAGATCTCCCAATGAGTGTTGGGAGATTTAGGGATCCAAAGAAGGAAAAGGGCTAGTCAATGAAGAAAGAGAAGGAATTAGAGAAAGATTAGTTATCTAGAAATCAAGGAAATAGTTTCAAAAAGTTGAGGTCAAATACTGTGGAGAAGGCAGCATTCAAGGACAGTCTCTCCTCTGTGTTAAGTTGTCGGGTATCACTGTTCTTTTCTCTTTTTTTTTTTTTTTTTTTGAGAGGTTTTTGCTATAGGGCACGTGCACTCGCCAGATAGAGAGAGAGAGAGACAGAAAGCAAGAAATCACCCCCCAAGAGGGATGGCCATGCCGCAATCCCTTCTACTCCATTCTCAGGATTTTGGGCATGCATGCACACGTGCTTGGTGTGAGTTTTAAGCCACCGGGTCCGGGACTTGAACTGCGGTCAACTACATGGGAGTCTAGCGACATAGCCATTATGCTAACTGCTGGTCCCTCTTGCTATCACTGTTCTTCACCAGTGTTCCAATGCTGTTATTTACTCTTCTGTTGTGCTTAAGAGAATGAGTTTTTAGACTGAGTTTGAAATGGGGCTAATAGTAGCACTTGAATTAATATTTCAGGATTATATGTATTAGGCAAGTCAATCCATGCACAGCTCTTAGAATGATAACTGCCACTGCTAAGAGCTGCTGCTGCTGCTGCAGACTGTGGGCTGCACCTGATTGCCCTTCTTACTATTCCATATATTTAATATGCATGCTTTTTCTACAGTCATTTTTTTTTGGGTAATTCCAAAAGGATTTAAACATAGGTATAAGCTTGAGTCATTTTTGGATTAAGTAGTGTTTTTTTTTTTTAACTTCAGAAATCAAAATTTCTTTTTTATAGACTATAATAATAATGGGTTTTGTGCTACTTGAGTTGCAAGTTCTCACAATACTTTTATGGGGTTATAAAAGGATGGCTGAATTTTTTTATTTTTTTATTTTTGAGAGGTTTATGCTATAGGGCGCATGTGTTCACCAGACAGACAGAGAGACAGAAAGCAAGAAATCACCCCCCAGGTGGGATGGCCACGCCGCAATCCCTTCTCCTCCCTTTTCCTCTCGGGATCTTGGGCATGCACGCACACGTGCCCGGCGTGAGTTTTAAGCCACCGGGTCCGGGACACGAACCGCAATTGACTACGTGGGAGTCCAGTGACATAGCCATTACGCTAACTGCTGGACCTGGAGGGCTGAATATTAAAACAAATTTTTATGAACTTTTATGAATAAGATTTTATCATGATTTATCTTTTCTTTTGTATTCTTGTGGAAGTATAGTATTATATTTTAAAAATATTTTTTAGAGACTACCATTTGGCGTAATGGCTATGTGGCTGGACTCCCATGTAGTTGACCGTGATTCTAGCCCCGGACCCGGTAGCTTAAACTCATGCTGGGCGCATATGCATGTGTGCCCAAGATCCCGAGAGGAGAATGGGAGAGATGGGATTGCGGTGTGGCCATCCCCCCTGGGAGGTGATTTCTTGCTTTCCATCTGTCTGTCTTTCTGGCAAGCGCATGTGCCCTATAGCAATAACCTCTCCAAAAAAAAAGTTTTTTTTTAAAAGATACTCTCTAAAATTTGTAAATAATAATCCATTTGAAATTTGGTTATTTAAAAGTCTTTTATTAGGAACAGGTAAAATTAAGATGTTAAACATGTAAAAACTGGTAATTAGTTTTATGGTATATACACGAGACTTGGAAACATGAATCTAATTTTTAAAAAGACTTTAGGTAAAGTTGGCCGAGTACAACAGATTTATTCAGACAGCGATTTAAAGGTGGAAGTTTGTGGAACCTCTTGGACGTATAATCCAGCAGCAGTCTCCAAGGTGGCATCTGCAGGATCAGCCATTAGCAATGCATCTGGTGGTAAGTTCTGTATTGTGTCACTTTAAAAGTGGTATGATTCATGTTAAAACCTTTTTGCTAATTTCTCAAATCTCCTATGTAATAATATGTGTGCTTTGCTATCTCCCAGATAACATAACTTCATTTGGATGTTAACTACTTTTAAACTTTCACTAAAGGTTTTTTTTCCCTATGGAGTAAAAAAACCTCTGACTGAGGTACTCCCAGGAAAAATTCCATGTAAATACATACTTTTTCTTGAAAATATGAGGGACTGCTCTACATCAGATCTGAGATACCCTAAATTTAACATTCTATTCTTTAGTCAGAACTTTTGCTTTCTGCTAAAGAACCTTTATTTTATTATTTTTTTAAATTTGCTGTAGTGTGCTTGTGTATGCCAGAGAGAGAAGTGGGTGGCAGAGGGGAGTGAGAAAGCAGTCTCTGGGTGGATGGCCATGCTACAATTCCTTCTCCATTCTCTCTGCATTTTGAGCATGCATGCACACCTAGCATATTTTTCCAGCTGTAGGATCTGGGACTTAAACGATGCCATTGGCTTTGTGAGATACAGTCACCTTAACCACCATGCTACTGGCTGGCCCAGAACCATCACTTTCTTAGATTGCTTTATTTTTTTCTTTATTTCTATCATTGCTATTAGATGTCTTTCTTCCTGGACATTTTTATATATCAGCCACACTTTTTTTAATCTTACCATAATAATAGTTTTATACATTATAATGAGTGGAAAACCATGTTAAAATGTGAATATGCTGAATGCTTATGTAGACTTTTTCCCCAAAGTCTTGCCTTTCTGTGCTCCTGCTTTATATACAGAGACTCAGTTTATTCTACAGCATATTACTAACTCCCTTATGTACATTGTTGTCATCCAGGAAGGTAGAATCATAACTGTAAATGGTAAGAAACAAAAGGAAAACGTTAGGTGACCTCATATTTTATTTTTGTACTGCTTTCATTTCTTCTTTCCTACTGCAGTTTGCCAGTGTGCTTAGAGTTTAAGTCAGATCATGTTTATTTTATCTTAATGTTTGATGGCAATCATAATTGTCTGACCACATACAGAGTAAAAGAATGAAGGATGATTTATATTGTAGTCTTCTTACTTTATCTCCTTTGTGAGTTGTCCCTAGCCCCACTTTGTGATTTCATTGCTTTCCAGTAAGTACTCTTAAGAATTAAGGAGTACAACTTGATACTATTTAGAAAAAGAAAATCTTTCAAGAGCCAGTTTGTATTTATCCCTGGTTCATTCTTGTTTTCGTCAAACCAGTTAATTGGCACTTAGTAAAGTATGTTATTAGCAATTAGACATCCTTTTTTTTTGCTCTAAGGCATGTATGCTTACTGGAAAGATAGAGAGAAACAGAGAGAGAGAGAGAAAAAGTGAGAAATCATTCACTGAGGGGATGGGAACGCTACAATCCCTTCTCCCTTGTCTTCTTTAAATTTTGGGCATACATGCACACACACCTGGTGTGAGTTTCAAGCCTTGGAGTCCAGGACTCAGACCATGGTCGGCCATGTGGGAGTCTAGTACCTTAACCACTACTCCACCTGCTGGCCCCTGCACATCTATTTTTAACTGAAAATTAGTTTGTTCCTAAATATGTCTCCAAATATTACAGAGATCACATTACTTTTGAATCATAGTTATTGAATTATTTGAGACCTTTTGTATTGAGCTCTGAGAGTCACTATGGTATGCTTAAAACCTAGAAGGAAGTTTGTATCATTATGGTACTCCCATCATAGAGTCTTCATTCATAGTATCTTTGGAATGACATATAAATCTTGACTTATTAACTTGCTTTTTCTAAAATTATAACTTGAAATACATGAATTGGAGAAAATTTGGAGTATTTATAGGCTCAAATTCAATGTTGCTTGATACTGTAGTGATTATAACTCACATGGGTTATTTTATCTGTAGCATAGTACCAACATAACATTACAGATTATAGGAATATGGAGTAATACTTGTCTGAGTAGTTAAGATTTGAGATCCTTCTGTATTACCAGTTTTATTTGATGCTTTACAGAAAGACTCTCACAACTCCTGAAGAAATTATTTGAAACCCAAGAATCTGGTGACCTCAATGAAGAATTAGTAAAGGCTGCTGCCAATGGAGACGTTGCTAAAGTGGAAGATTTGCTAAAAAGACCCGATGTGGATGTGAGCATTTTAAAAATTATTTTAAAGCATACAAAGAAATAGACTAGCGTAATGAAACCTTATACTCCAAAGTTAGGAAGATTTTGCCTCATTACTTGAATAATCACTTAGATTTTTTGCCACATGTACTTCACTTTTCTTTACTTTTCTGAGATATTTTAAAGCAGACACTAGAAGTCATTCTTCAGGATGCATTTCTAAAATATATTGGCATTTTCTTGTTTAACGTGATGACTTTTTTAAATGTTATTACTGAAAAATACTGACATTTAGGTTTAAATGCTTTGTATTTTCGTAGGAAATCTCGTGATTTATTTTCATACAGATATCATTTTATGGCATTTCTTAAATATATGTTAGTAAATTTTATAAGCAGTTTTCCATCCCTGTTATTTATTTATTTATTTATTTATTTAGAGAATTTTGCTATAGGGTGTGTACACTCACCAGAGAGACGAAGAGAGACAGAAACAGAAAGTGAGAAATCACCACCCCCCAGGAGAATGGTCATATCACAGTTCCTTTTCCATTCTCCTCTCGGGACCTTGGGCATGCACACACATACAGCCAGCATGAGTTTCAAGCCACTGGGTCTGGGATTTGAACTGTAGTCGACTATATGGGAATCCAACAACATAACCATTACATCATCTGCTGGTCCCTCTATCCTTCTTTTCAAAACATGTAATCTAAATTTTTTTCCCCTCCCCTTCTATGATCATTGACTATTGCATGACTTATAATGCAGGTAAATTAGCAATCCTGCACTTTGTAACTCTTCATAATTTTGTTTAGATTAGATTTAATAGTGAATATTACATAAATGCCATTCATATTTGAACTAGGAGTATATTGGATTGTGTTTTCTTACATGTCTTTTTGTTTTCATTGCAGTTTATAATTGTCCTTTTTTAAAAAAGGGAAATGCAACTTACATGCAGTGAAGTTTTGACAAAATGAGTCAGTTTTCACAAATGCAAATACTGACAATTCATACTCCTTATTAAAATGTAAACTGTTTCTTTCATTCCTAAGAGTTATCTTGTGGTCTTTCCCAGTCCTGTTTTTTTTGTTTTTTTTTTTTTTTTTTGTAAATTTTGCTATAGGGCATGTGTACTCACCGGAGCAGAGAGAGAGGAGCAGACACACTCACAGATGTAGAAAGAAATCATCCCTCCCTCCCCCCGATAGGATGGCCAGGTTGAGAGAGAGAGAGATCATCATCATAACCCCAAGTGGGGGAGTAGGGGATAGCCCTTTTCCATTCTCTTGGGATTTTGGGCACAAATGCACAATTGCCTGATTTGTATATGTGTGTTTAAAGAATAAATTTTTTTTAACTTTATTTACTTACTTCAATTTGACCAGAGAGGGACAGAGTGAGAGAGAGAAAGTAAGAAAGCAGGTCACCAGGTCTGGGACTTGAACTGCTGTGGGCCATGTGGGAGTCCAGTGCCCTAAACCACCACTTCATCTTCCGGCCCCAGCCTATGTGTTTTTTAAGCTGCTGAGTCCAGGATTTGAGCTATGTAGGCGGCTATGTGGGATCTAGCTGCCTTAACCTCTGTGCCACCTGCTGACTCTTCTTCATTTTTAATTTTTTTTAATAGCTAATTTGAGACCAGCAGGTGGTATAATGGTTATGTCGCTGGATTCCCACATGGCCAACTGCGGTTCAAGTAACAGACCTGGTGGCTTGAAAATTACGCTAGGGGTGTGTATGTGTGTGTGTGTGCCCCTAAGATCCTAGGAAGAGAATGGAGGAGATGGGATTGCAACATGGTCATTTCCCCTGGGTGGTGATTTCTCACTTTCCCTCTCACTGTGTGTCTGTCTGTCTCTCTGGCAAGCCACATGCACCTATGGTGAAAACCTTTATAAAAAAAGATAGATAAAAAATTTATTTCTTCCATGAGAGTGAAGACACACACACACACACAGAGCGACAAGTATCCCCAGTAGGGTTTTCATGCTGCAGTCCACCTCCAGCCAGTCAGATCACAGGTGCACATGTGTGCCTGTCACATACAGCGAGGTCCAAGTATGTTAAATGGGGAACTTTCCATGTGGCTCTAGTTGTATCACTGCACCACTGTCTGGCGTTCCCTACAAATATTTTTTTTTGAAGAATTATTTATTCAATTTTATTCATTCATTTTAATTTGACCAGAGAGAGACAGAGAGAGAGAGAGAAAGTGGGAAAGCAAGCCTCCACATCCAGGCCCTGAACCGTGGTTGGCCATGTGGGAGTGTCTAGCACCTTAACCACCATGCTACCTGCTGGTTCCCCACAGATAACTTTTAAGTTTTTCCATTTGATAGTAGTTTGCATTCTTTTTTTTTTTTTTTTTTTTGGAGAGATTTTCACTGTAGGGCGCGTGCGCTCACCAGACAGACAGAGAGAGACATAGAGACAGAAAGCGAGAAATGACCCCCCAGGGGGGATGGTCACGCCGCAATCCCTTCTCCTCCATTCTCCTCTTGGGATCTTGGGCACGCACGCACACGCGCCCGGCGTGAGTTTTAAGCCACCAGGTCCGGGACACAAACCGCGGTCGACTACGTGGGAGTCCAGCGACATAGCCATTACGCCAACTGCTGGTTCCCTGCATTCTTGTAATTAAATCTTCCTTAAACTCCTCTTTCAATTCTCTTATCTCTCAAAACATTCAGGCTCAGGGCCAGTAGGTGGCATGGTAGTTAAGGTGCAGGACTCCCACATGACAAAACACAGTTTGGGTCCTGGACCCAATGGCTTGAATGTCATGCTGGTTGTGTGTAAATGTGTACCCAAAATTCTGAGAGGCGAATGGATTGTGGCATGGCCATGCACTCCCTGCAACAATGGCTAGGTCACACTACAGTCCTTTTTCCTCCAGTTCTCTGACCTCTTAGGATCTTGGGCACTTGTACGTGCCTAGCATGTTGATTTTCCATTTCCCTATCACTGTCTCTCTCTCTCATTCCAGCAAGTGATGGAATGAGATGGTGGGGGTACCAACTTAAATTATTCTCATAGAATCATACAGTGTACTAGATCAAACATATGATATATGGATGTATTGACTCTTTGTGGTTTGTGACATTCATTCAACCTTTCTTTTTTATATTTAGGTTAATGGGCAATGTGCTGGCCACACAGCTATGCAAGCTGCTAGTCAAAATGGACATGTTGACATTTTGAAGTTACTTTTGAAGCAAAATGTGGATGTAGAAGCAGAGGTAACTAAACTAAACTTGAAACAGTATTAAAATAGAAGTTATGCTTCTATATGAAATGGATTTTTATTCTTGAAGTTTAATAATCACCTAATGCTTTTCTAATTAAAAATAAAAAATTGACAGAAGATAACTTGAAGCATTTATTTTTTTATGATGTCTCAGTATATTCTAGACATAGCCCTTGGTGAAGATAGGTGTTAGATCCACCATGCTGGTAGAAGCCCAATTGGGATCCACTAGGAATCACACAAGGGAAGCTGAAGAAAGGGGAATATAGCTCCTGGGTAAAGGTCTTTTCTGATCTCTCTGACATAGAGAGGTCTTTTAGTATTTAGTCTTACTGTTTTTTGACTTTTAGTTGGATTTTTGAAGAGTTTAAGGGTGTGTTTATCACAGGTGTCTATTTATGCTTAATTTAGTGTATATTCTTTTTTAGAAAACTTATTTATATTTATATATTTATTTTTAATTGATAGAGGGCATGTGTGCTAACCAGAGAAAAGAGAAAGAGAAAACGAAAACACGCCCTGCCAAGGAGTGTGGTTGTTTCCTTCTCCATTTCTTCATCTTGTCCAGACTTTGGGCATGCATGCACATGTGTCTGGCGTGTATTTTTTTTTAAGTCACTGGGGCTGGGTTTCAAACTACAGTTGTCCCTGTGCGACCTGGCTTCCTTAACTAGTAGGCTATGGGGCCAGCCCTCGAGTATATTTTTATAAAAGAGAAATAAATATTTCTTATTATTGTTGGAGTCTTAGTTGTAAATCTGTAAATATGGTTTGTCTTAATTATAATCTCATTACTAAAAATTTATTAGGATCACATTTGTATTAGTCTAGTGTAAAATTATTTATAATGTCAGTATCTAGCAAGTTTTGGCTGGGTGGAATATTGAAGTTTTGTTCAAAAGAAATTCCTGTTTTGGAGCTTAGTAAGGACTTCAATTGCTGAGGGCCAAATTGGTGAATCTGCCGGTTTTTACTATTTAAAAAATTTTGAAAGATACATTTGAAAAAGGAAACTTTTTTTTTTTAATTTTAAATTATTTATTTATTTATTTATTTATTTATTTATTTATTTATTTATTTATTTATAATTTGACCAGAGAGAGACACACAGAGAGAGAGAGGGGAAGGTGAGAAAGCAAGCCACCAGGTCCGGGACTCAAACCATGGTCGGCCATGTGGGAGTTTCCAGCGCCTTAACCACCACGCCACCTGCTGGTCTCAGGAAACCTTTTTTAGTCTTATGTTACTTTTGCTTTTTTTTCTCTAATTGTGTGTATTTTGAGTCATAAGATACTATAAAGAGTCTGTGGTGTTTTAGGGTGAATAAGTCATTTTGAATTTTGGAATTTTCTGTTGCTTAGAAAGAACTCGAAGTTTGAATTAGCATATTAGACATCTGTGAATTACATTTAGTGTTATTACTGTGACATTTTTATGAATGAGTTTGTACAATCTATTTTTTTACAGTAGTATTTTTAGATTGTATCTTCCTTGGTTGTAAATGTAAAAATCTAATGTGTATTATACAGTTAGTAGATTGATGTTCTTTTGTTATTGGAAGGGCAACCATAATACAGATTTAAAAACTGTTACAGAGGGCTGGCAGGTGGCGTGGTAGTTAAAGGTGCTAGATTTCCCACATGGCTGACCTTTGGTTCGAGTCCCAGATTGGTGACTTGCTCTCTC